CATGAAGGCTGAAATGAAGCGCTTTTCAAGTGGTGGTACATCTGTTCTCAAACAACACTATGAGAAAAAAGTTCATGACCTAGAACAGGAAAAAAGAGCACTACAGGTCGGTACTCTGTGGTTTATATTATATTTGAGTAGAATTTATGGACCTGCATTTGACTAAATCAAACTTGCATGCAGAGAGAAATCGAAGGTTTGAGACAGAACCTTGCTAGCATACCATCTGGCTCAGGAGATGGTGCCCAGAAACTGAAGGAAGAGTATGTTCAGAAACTGAACACGCTTGAAACACAGGTAACTCCCGTTTTATTAATTAGTTATACTCGTATTTCACATTAATTTCCCTAATTTATTGTATTTTGTTTCTTTAGGTTTCTGTTCTGAAGAAGAAACAAGATGCACAAGCTCAGCTTATGAGACAAAAGCAGAAAAGTGACGATGCGGCAATAAAATTGCAGGATGAAATACACAGAATTAAGTCCCAGAAGGTGTTTTATTTTCTTGCAGTGATCTCTATTCGAGACTCTCTACATGTATGTTCCTTGCATGTATGTCTTACCTATGCTAATCTGATTTGATTCTACTTTTCAGGTGCAATTACAGCAAAAGATTAAGCAGGAGTCAGAGCAGTTCAGGGCTTGGAAGGCTTCAAGAGAGAAGGAAGTTATGCAGGTATATTTGAATCTTCAGTTTGTAGCCAATTAAGATTCTTCTTGAGCTTACTTGATTTTATTGATTGATTAGTATGCTATGTCTTGCTCCACTACTGAACTACTTAGAAAAGTGTCATTTTCTGTCATTAGTCACCTATAGTATATGACCAGTATTTGTATATACTTTTGACTTGAAGGTTTCGATCTTCAAACTAGTTCTAAAGACATTTGGACTTAGTTTTCAGAAATCTATTTTGTATTGAACCATTCATTATATCGTATCTTAAAATTGACCAGCTCAAAAAAGAGGGAAGGAGAAATGAGTATGAGATGCACAAACTCATGGCTTTGAATCAAAAACAGAAGCTGGTGAGCACATTTTTATAAACTTTCAGACCAGTGGTAACGATCTTTTTTATTATCATGGCTTCTCAAAGTTTGTTTTATTAGGTTTTGCAAAGAAAGACAGAAGAGGCATCTCAGGTGACAAAAAGACTCAAAGAGCTTTTAGATAATCGAAAGGCTTCTTCACGCGAGACATTGAGTGAGGATTTTTCGTATAACATTATTCAGTATGACCACCTTTGTTTATGTCTACTAACTGTGTATCCTAAAATATATGCAGGTGGTGCTAATGGTCCTGGAACTCAGGTAACACCCACTAAACTCTATCAAACCAAGGCTTTGTTTTTCCAGTTATTGACTAGGTTTAGTAAGTTTGGGGATTGTCCTGTTAGTTTGTAAATGCAACTTTTTATCAAATGTATTCCATTTGCAGGCATTGATGCAAGCCATTGAGCATGAGATTGAAGTCACTGTTCGGGTTCACGAAGTGCGTTCTGAATATGAGAGGCAAAAGGAAGAGTATGTCTTTCATCAATATTTGTTTCATAACTTATTCATCGCCTGACAAGAAGTTTTTTGTAATTCTCAAAACAATGATTTCTTACAAACTGTCTCAAATAACACTGACTATAATTCAGGAGGGCAAGAATGGCTAAGGAAGTTGCAAGGCTAAGAGAAGAAAACGAGCTGCTCAAGAATGCCAAAATAAGGTGAGTGATCTGGGCTGACAAAGATTTTGCATAAACCAAGACCATTCATAATGAAAAATATCGAAACAATTAGTGCCTTCTCTGACCAAAGCAGCGTTCATGGTGACACCATGTCTCCTGGTGCAAGAAACTCAAGGATTTTTGCTCTGGAGAATATGCTTGCGACCTCCTCCAACACTCTCGTCTCCATGGCTTCACAGTTATCTGAAGCAGAAGAACGCGAGCGTGTGTTTGGTGGAAGAGGGAGGTGGAACCAAGTTAGAACACTAGGTGACGCGAAGAGTATCATGAACTATCTGTTCAATTTGGCGTCAACTGCGAGGTAAAATCTCAATTAGTGACTGAAGATTTTTCGTAATATGTTGCTTCTTGAAGGATCATCTTCAAAATTTGATGCATAACTCATCCTACATTCTTCTTTCCGTCCATTGTTTAACTTTGAAGGTGTCTAGCCCGAGATAAAGAGGCAGACTGCAGAGAAAAGGATGTCCTTATAAGAGACCTAAAAGAAAAAATAGTAAAGTTTAGCAGTTATGTTAGATACATGGAGATCCAAAAAGCAGACCTCGTGCATCAGGTGAAAGCACAGGTTAGTAGAAAACATCGTCTACTCTTGTTTGATTAGATAGTAAATGTCTGAAATTTAGCATATAAAACCATTGGCATTCCATATTGCAGACCTCTGCAATGAAGAAATTGTCCACAGAGGAGAACCTAAAGAACGAGCATAGTATGAAAAAGCAGGAAACCCGAAACTCGACTATAGTTCTTGAGGACATGGATACCTCTGATTCTGAAGAATCAGGCCATGAACGGGAAGATCCAGATCTTGATGTTGAATGGAAACCTGAACATGAATCAGAGCGTGAGTCGGAGCAGGAATCGGTTATAAAGCTAAATAGGAAACGAAACTTCAAAGTGGGAAGACGGCGCTCGAGTGTGGTCATGAGGCGTTCATATGAAGAGAATTCGGAAGCTCCTTCAGATGATGCAGTGAGATCTGACGAGTGTTGTTGCACTTGCAGCAAGAGCTCCTCGTGCAAGACAATGAAGTGTCAGTGTCGAGCTACAAAGGGATCTTGTGGTCCGTCATGTGGATGTTCTTCAGTGAAATGCTCCAACAGAAACGCAGACGGAAAGGAGAACAATTCCATCTCGGAATCAGAGGCCTTGGAAAACGGGGAGAACTCGCAAGAATCTGATGAAAAGGACAAAGACCAACAACAACAAGTCCTTGCTTCACGTGGAGCTATGCTGCTACAGAACGCTCTTGCTGACAAGCCAGGGGAGGAGACAAATGAGGATGGAGGAACAAGAAGAAGAAGAAAACCTCTATCAGATATAGGAAACACGACGGTAAAACTCTCTTAAGTTTCTATTGGTCATTTCAACATATCTGTGTTCATGTAGCTAAGAAACAACAGCTTTCTGATTTGATGAAATTGGTTTCAGGGTAAATCGAATGTGCCAAGGCCAAGCCAAAGAAAGAAATGGAAGAAGACGGTGCTTCAGCTTGTTCCTGTAGGTCCACCAGCTTCATCTCAGGAGGAAGCTAATCCGGTGACTTTGGACTCGGAAGCAGCGAGAATGCCAGAAAACAGTGAGTCAGGAGAGTCTAATAGCATCAAACTGAAGCTACCAAGGGCAATGAGGTCAGCGTCTTCAAATGGCAGCAACTTGCTGAGAGAAAGAAACGCTGATCAAACCGGAGGTGAATCAGTCGGTAATGGTGGTTTTGTGCAGAGCAATTCAGGTAGGGCAAGTGGAAGTAGAACTTCAGATGAAAAGGAGAACCATACTCGTCGGATGTAAAGAGGAAACAGACGTTCTTTGAGGTGCAAGAAAGATGGGTTTGAAATCTTTTCAAGGGTTTGTCTTTTTTTTGGTGTGATTTGAGAACATAACAAACGTAATTTTAGGGTTGTGAATTCAAGTTACTGTTGTGAATCCTTTCAGACAGGTACAATTGTTAAAGTTTGATTAAGATTTGAATGTTTGATAGCTTCCTCCTGTTGGAGTGTTCTTAATAGTGTCGGCAATATGAGCAAGATTTTTTTACTCCTCTGCGTAATAAAGTGTCTCGTTCAAATAAACACATAAATTAACGAGAGGATATACGTAATCACAGGAATTTAATAGTTTGGAATGGTAGTCTTAATTATCGTCTTAACATATTGATAAAGATTGCTTACTAATTTAGAATATAATTCACTCTTGATTGAGTTTTTAGTCCAACAACTTTCACAGTTTACTATAATATAATGTTGAAGAAAACAAATTGTATGGTTAACCGACAATTGTGTATTTCCACTGATGATCAGTCACCAGTAATAATTATGGATTGTTACGAGATACTCACTTGACTTTTAAATTGATACTATATGCCTATATGGTTGTTAGGACCAATATCCCTAAACAATACCAAACTTTAATATAGCGAAGTAAAATAATAATGATATTCGCCGACACATTTATTCGTTATTGACATTGAATATTTCAGTGATATCAACTCCATTTTTTTCATCTGTCTAGTATATTCTTTATGCAAACAAAAAAATAGATTTTTTACTCTTTTTCCCTAAATGTAAAAACCTATAATAAACCACAACACAAAATGTTCATAATTCATTCTCTGTTTTGGCAATAAAAATTATTTTGGTTTATAAATTTGTATAGAAAACACAAGTAATATATTATCCAAAATAAATGAATAATTAAAAAATGTGTCATATATTTTCTCTCCACCGACAGCCGAAAACACTGTCAATGGCCCACGTTCCTCTAAAAGCTGTCGTCTTGGGTAATATTTTCCGGTAATAAACTAACTTCCGATCAAAATTACACAAAAGCCCCTTTCTCGTTTATAATCATAGCAAATTAGCAACTTACAGAGTTGGTAATTAAGATATTAAAAATTACAGATTCCTTAATATTTTTCTCTGTTCCTATATTTGTTACATAGAAAATTCTACAACTGACAATTCCTTCCGACCCTTACTAGATCCACGACAGACTACACTTCCTTCTTCGTAATCTTGATGAATACCTTCAATGATCCACGACCTGGCGACACTTCCTTATCTGCGTAGAATCCTGGCGAACGGCTATAATTGTACATCGCTGGAGATCTCTTGCACACTTGCCTCCATTAATCTGCAAATTTGTTAATAAATCGCAATATCTGGGACTCGAACCCCAGACCTCTTGGTGTAGAAGCATTAATCAACCCTTGTTCAACCAATGGGCCAAGCAACTTACAGAGTTGGTAATTAAGATATTAAAAATTACAGATTCCTTAATATTTTTCTCTGTTCCTATATTTAACAATTCATCGAAAAACAATTACTTCAACATAAGAAGCAAGACAAGAATTAATGTTCTTATTGACACGCTAATGTTTCTTTAATCGGGGGAAAAAATCAAATCATTAACACTAAATGATAGAAGGGTATAATGGTCAATCACCGTTCCCGGCTCAAATTTTACTAAAAACAGCCACTAGCCAGCCAGATCCCAAAAATTTCTCATTGCTTCTCTCGTTCGTGTATTTCTTTCAAAGCAAACAAAAAAAATCTTGCTGCTATCTTCTATAAGTCCACTCCTCCTTCAAGCAAAGCACCTTCCCTCTTCTTCTTCTTCTTCTTCTTCTTCTTCTTCTTCTCACTCTGAGATTGGTTTAAGATTAAACCAGACCCATCTAAGGGATCTGGAACAAGCTTCGTATCTGGTTCCACTCTGATCATCAGAGAATTAAAAATGGAGTCTTTCTTCTCCAGATCCACCTCCATCGTCTCCAAATTGAGTTTCTGGGCCTTATGGATCGTGTTCTTGATTTCTTCATCTTCTTTTACTTCGACAGGTTACTTCTTATTCTCATCAATAATTCTGCTTCTTGGTTATGTTTCTTAGCCTATGAGCTTTTTCAACTTCCCATCTTGCTTCTTGATTGGGATTTCACTTTTCAGAGTTTAAGATCGTGAAATTGTTCATTTCTTGAAATGAGACTATGTTTTTGCATCTAGGTATCTCCAATTTTAACTGATTTGTTTGTTGATATTGATAAAGAGATCTGATAATATGAATTGTGTGGAGTGGCAATTCATGATCTGCTATTTTTATAAAAAAAAAAAAAAAAAAAAACTCTTTTATAGATCTTTCCTCAATTAGTGAAATGATAATTGCTTTGCTCACTGTTCAAGTCTTTTGCAGAGTTCAGATCCTAAAATCAATACTTCAATTTCCATATTATTGTTTCATATGTAGATCAGTGGATTTATAAGGAAACACCAAAGTTTCAAGTTTTCTGATCTAAAATTAGTAACTTTCTGATATTTTCTATAAGTAGAAAACTTGATGCACACTTGTGAGTTATATGCAGTTAACACTTTGGTCTATTTCTACAAACCAATAATTAGTAGTTTTAAGATTGAAGCAATCACAATGTCGGTGAGCAAAGCTGGATCAAGATAAACAAAGTTCTGACTGTTGTAAATCCTTTTGCAGAAGCATATGATGCGCTTGATCCAGAAGGCAACATTACAATGAAATGGGATGTCATGAGCTGGACTCCTGATGGCTATGTTGTAAGTTCAAGAACCAGAAGTAGAAAAGACTAGGCCTTATTTCTACCGGTTTTCTATTCATCTAAACTGTTTTTGTGTTGGATCTAGGCCGTGGTTACGATGTTCAACTTCCAGAAATACAGACACATTCAATCTCCGGGATGGACATTAGGCTGGAAATGGGCAAAGAAGGAAGTTATTTGGAGTATGGTTGGAGCACAAACAACTGAACAAGGTAACTGAAGGTTTCAGGTTCCCTTAATTTATGTTTTGGTTGCGAATTATCGGATTATGAATTATCGGCAAAATGTTTTACAGGTGATTGTTCAAAGTACAAAGGAAACATACCGCATTGTTGTAAGAAAGATCCAACAGTTGTAGACTTGCTTCCTGGGACTCCTTATAACCAGCAGATTGCCAATTGCTGCAAAGGTGGTGTCATGAACTCATGGGTACAAGACCCTGCCACTGCGGCTAGCTCCTTCCAGATCAGTGTTGGCGCTGCTGGAACCACAAACAAAACCGTTAGGGTGCCAAGAAACTTCACTCTCCTGGGACCTGGTCCAGGCTACACTTGTGGTCCAGCAAAGATTGTCAGACCAACAAAATTTGTCACGACCGACACACGGAGAACCACTCAAGCTATGAGTAAGAACTAAGACTGCAATTGGACTCTTTGCAACCGTAATATTAACATTGTTTCTCATCTAACAAACCGGCTAAATGTTTTTTCTTTGAATCACCGCAGTGACATGGAACATTACATGCACATACTCGCAGTTCCTTGCTCAAAGAACTCCAACTTGCTGCGTTTCTTTATCTTCTTTCTACAATGAAACTATTGTCGGATGTCCAACTTGTGCTTGCGGATGCCAAAACAACAAAACAGAATCCGGTGCCTGCCTCGAGTAAGTAATTCAAATCAATATTCAATTCCAGCCTTCTGTTCTCTGTTCAATTTCCAATATAAAGTCTCAAACTTTTTCTGTAATGCAGCCCGGACACACCACACTTAGCCTCGGTTGTGTCACCGCCAACAAAGAAAGGCACGGTATTACCGCCATTAGTGCAATGCACGAGACACATGTGCCCGATCAGAGTACATTGGCACGTAAAGCAGAACTACAAAGAGTATTGGCGAGTGAAGATCACAATCACAAACTTCAACTATCGATTGAACTATACACAATGGAACCTCGTTGCTCAACATCCAAATCTCGACAACATCACTCAAATCTTCAGCTTCAACTACAAATCTCTCACTCCGTACGCTGGATTAAGTAAGTACATCCACACACACACACAATGACACAAAGCCCCTCTCTTCTCTCTCTCTGCTTATCTCAAAGATTTAACCTTTTGATTTTGGTTTTTGCAGATGATACGGCGATGTTATGGGGAGTGAAGTTCTACAACGATTTCTTATCAGAAGCAGGTCCTCTTGGGAATGTTCAATCAGAGATTTTGTTCCGTAAAGATCAATCAACCTTCACATTCGAGAAAGGTTGGGCTTTTCCTCGAAGGATTTACTTTAATGGAGACAACTGCGTCATGCCTCCTCCTGACTCTTACCCTTTTCTTCCCAACGGTGGTTTCCGGCTACAATTCTCATTCTTCGCCGCCGTGCTCCTCCCTGTTCTGATCTTTTTCTTCTTCTCTGCCTAATCTCGGATTTACGGTTTTGCCACTGGTATGGTTAGGGTTCTACGGTTGAGTGGTATAAACGTTATTTATGATTCTTTCTGTGTCTCACAAATTATATCTTTTGATACCTTTTTTTCTTTTTTTAATATATATAGTTTTCAACTTCGTTGTTTTTAAAAGAAATTTATATCCTTGTGTTCTGTTGGTCCGTCGTTGGGGAATATCGGAAACAAAAAAAAAAAGATCATAATGTTAGATATTGTAAACTTTGTGTCCTACTGTTATATACTTTACTTTATGTTACTGACATACTGTGATCTAAATGTTTAGTGATGAAAAAAAGGTATAAACTAAAAATAAAGTGAATCAAAACAAATCCTCAAGACCCATTGAGAAAAATCTCAATCTTATTAAAATAAGTTCAGTCTTTATACTAAAAAGATAGAAACAGGCCTGATCTCTTTGAGGACATCTTATAAAACAATTACTTAAATGGACTTTCAATTTAACTAGGCCCAGTTTTCCTCCTAACAGGAGGGAAATACTGATTTTGTCACTACATTTACATTTTGTGAAATTGTTATTTCAAAATGCAATTAATTCAACTTTATAACAATAAAAATAGGTGTGTGCCTTTCAAAATATAATTATTGGATTGGGAATATATATTGGGTACCAATATCATTAAAGAAAAAAATAGAAAGAGATAATGGCTCGTAAAATGGAACATTGATTAGTTGTGTGGCAGAGAATCTCATCCAAAATGAGACAAAGTGAGAAGTTGCTTTAGAAAAGTTTGTGTGCGTTGTCGATTCCATATTTGCATATAAACCCTAATATTACCAACCCTCCATAAAAGTAAACAAAGCAAGAAATATCAAAACTATGTAATCTTAGATTATTAAAATTCCTTCTTTGCAATATTATGTTTATTATACACATAAAATTCATTTGTTATTCAATCATTGATTTTAAAATCCTAATTAAATTCATGTGTTATTGGTTCTATGATTTATAAATACTAGTTAAAATCATATGTTATTCGTTTAATCATTTGTTTTTGGATTTGAGAATCCAAATTATGTTTTAAATGGAATTGAATGGAATTGAAAGAGAAAAATAGAAGGATTCAAATCCATGGGTAAACACATGTTATTTCAAAATCCATATATCTTGATTTCATAATTAATAGAAATTTTCAAATTCTATATAGATTTACAAATTAATAAACCAATAACACCCCCTTAGATTATTAAAATTCCTTCTTTGCAATATTATGTTTATTATACACATAAAATTAGTTTTATATAATTAATATAGTCAATGTGAGTTCTATATAGCTTAATTATAGGATGCCTATTTTAACGAAGCGGAAGAAATGGGATTCGTTTTTTTTTTTTAATTTCCGGAAAAGGGAGATCACTAGTGGGCAATGCCCAAACCCTAAAATGTCAATGATATTCTTTTTTATATTTTTAGTTATCAAAACACACCTAACAGAGATGTTTTTAAAATTAAAAACACTTGTACCTTTTGATTTTTTAATTTTTTTTTGTTTTTTGTTTTTGTATATATTTGGTCACCAATGTTTACATGCATCTATGATTATCCGATAAATTAAAGAAAACTACATTGAAATTTATCAATTATTAGTCGTTTCTTAAATACAAAAATTTGTTAGGTTATAAACAAAATACATCAACAAAAAATAATATTCCGTTTAATTAACATATGTTAAAAACTTTAAAATAATGTTAAAACTTTGATTGAAGAAAAATTATGCATTTCAGTCCAATTTCCATTCGTAGTATTCCAAAATAAAATCTCAAAATAATTATTGATTGGGAGGAAAAATTCCAGTTAGAAATATCTCTGCGATGCATTCACTATGAGTCTATGATCAACATTTGTTTTGGGCATCTACTATAGTTACAATTTTAAATAAGTATCAAGTTTATTTGATTATCTAAAAAAAATTGTACCATGACTTAGGAGTTAGGACAATTAACCTAATTCATTGTTTGTCACTTTGTTGCTTTCCTATCAAAAGTTCACAGGGATATCTCCTTCGGTTTTTAAAGTACTTTTGTCGTTTTCCTATCAAAAGATGTCTCACACTGTTGATTTGTTCGTAATTACTCCTGTCGAATAGTTTAAAACACGGCTGGGTTCTCAATCACGTGTCAAGTTTTGATTCCTCCAAAATTAACTTCGAAAATGGAAAACTGTCCTTTTGGCAAAACTAGAATAGCTAAGGTAAAAACAGTGATGGAAGCGGAATTAAAAGCTCTAAGATGGGCCATTATCACCATGAGCAGATTACAGTATAGGAAAATTATTTTTGAATCAGATGCTCAGGAACTCATCAAAATTCTTAACAGTGGTGAAGTAAGGCCACATATAAACCCATCACTACAAGATATCAAGATTATGCTCCAGCAGTTTGAAGAGGTCAAATTTGTGTACTCGCCTAGAGGAGGAAATGAAGTTGCTGATATATATAGAATAGCAAAGGAGTCTCTTTCCTCTATGAAGGATGACCCTACGCTTTATTCTATTGTGCTTGTTTGGTTGAAATCCCTCGTGGAATCAGATGTAGTGTTGTAACTCTGGTTTTGGTGAATGTTTAAGTTGAAGTTGAGCCAAAAAAAAGAAAAGAATATAATGGTTATCTTCGGTATCGACTTTAGTTATTACTTCTACCTGGTAGAGTAATAGTTTTTTTTACTTTTCAAAACTATTCAATACTAATTTACTATTAGATAGTCTATTCTATCATAGTAAGATTTGAAAAGTAGTCAGGGCATAACACTTTACTGTATATGGTTAATTAGCACACATTCTTTTAAGGGATGCTGAGTATTTGCTGAGAAGAGATTATCTATACCTTAAAAATGGTTGATCCTAGGACAAGAGAGAGGGAGATTATAATTATAGTCCTAAGACTCATAATTTCCTTGTTCACTTGTACAATTTTTGCTAAAAAGTCTTTGTATCATCTGTGTACGCATAATTGAATAAAATCAAAATTAATTATTTTTAAATAAAGTATATTTATTTGAAAGAAAAAATTTTAATGAAAGAATTATATATATAAAAACATGGGACTACTGGGTCAATAATATTGTTAACATTCTCTCTTAATATATTTTAGTAACCGTTAAAGATGTTTTGGTATTTGTTTGGTTAAATACCTCACAAACTTCAAACTTGCGTATATAACAGAAATTCAAGTTTCTCCACAAAAAATAAACAGAACGTGGTAATCATGATGAAGGCCCTTATGGTGGGAAAAAAAAACTTCTATTCATATTTTTTCATGTCAATATATTGGCGTAGAATTTTTCACTTTGCTGCATACCATATCTATGCGTACGAATAATATCATGTACGAGTGTGGTCACACACAGAAAAAAAAATAGACAAGGCGTGATGTTAAAATGGTCCTAAGTTGACATATGTTTGTAAATTAAAAGCTTTTAACGATTGATATCTAAAAATTCAAATTTCACAAAAGGATGATTCGCTATAAATATTAATAATGGAAAATATGAGGTTTATGTCCACTATATATTGGTATATAAGTTTGACAAGACAACGTGCGATATAATATATGCGGTCTTGAGATGTTGACTTAACATAAGGTATGAGCAGGAAAAAAAGATCCAAAGTTTTGATCTAAGAGAGCAAACATTTATCGTACTAAGGAGAGAACCAAATTTATGTTAATAACGATTCAGAGAAATTAAATACGTTTAGGTACTATCCATCCATTTAGATGTTTAGGGCTCATCAACACCCAAATGTGGTCCATTTCTTTTTGTTCATGTGGTCCAATTTTGGTATATACTATATAGTCTATAATACCTTTACATACATTTTAGTCGGACGAGTAATTGTCTATGCTAAAATATTGCTAACCGGACACCCTCATATATATATATTTTTGGTGAGACCCTCATATATATATATGATCGTAGAGAATTATATACTATTTTTAATATTGTTATATAATATATATTTCTCCTCGCTCACTTATACTACCAAGAATATAAATATACAAATTACTAGATCATGACACAGCACGGAATTTAATATTTTTATGAATTAAACTGTATATTTTGTTCGAAAAATAAGAAATAATATAGTATAATAGTATAGTATAAAAGGGAATATATCATAATATTTTATTTTTATTACTATTTGGATATAATGTTATACATTTCATTTGACGATGGTTGTATATTTTGTTTGTAGAATTAAATAATAGTATATGATAAATTCTAAATCTATATTCTATATCATATTGGGTTATTTCATTGTACAAATTAAATGTTGTTTAATCTTAACTTGGTTGAAAAACATGACTTGGTAATAAAGAAAGAGAGAATATTGTATTGTATATCAAATATATTTAGCTGCATTAGATTTGTATTTTTGTTTATATGAGATTAAAAATTTATTTGGTTCAATTAGGTATTCATAATTGTATTGTGTTATTGAGAACAAACAAAATAGTTGTATTGGGTTTAAGTTTTAGCGTGGACTATATTGGGTTTTGTTTAAGATTTAGGATTGCATACTATAGTTTACCACAGATTTCAAAATTCTAATACATTTATATTTTAGGATTGCATTCAACAATTTATCACCGATTCCAAATTTATTAAAGTTAATAATTTTGCTTCTCAAGGCGTACCGTTGTCAATTTTTTTTGGTTGTTGTTAAAATTTAAAAATGCTTTCTTTAGACACATAAACCTTTTTTACAAAAGACAGAAAACCCCTGTAATTATGTACAACTCAAGCAGCTGGGCAAGTGAACCAATTGGCTTAGAGAAGAAGGAAGAACCTTTCGATGTGTTCAATAAACAAAATTTAGATTTAGGATTGAGCCTATTTTTTTTTTCTGGTAGAATGTTATCTTTACAAATAGGAAATTTCTTTTTTACAAAATTCAAAAGAACCCTATATATAATCAATTACAGCTCAAGCAGTTGAACAAGCAAACAAATAGAATTAGAGAAGAAGAAAGCGCCTTTGGTAGAGGTAGGAAAGACAACAAGCCTTCAGCCACAGTCACACAGTTCTGATAGAAACAGTAACCAATAACAGTTCTGGGAGAAGATCACAAATTTTGAGATGTTGGAGAGGAGAGATTTCGATGAATGTGAGGAGTTACCAATGTTCCAAACCATTTGGCAGAATATTTTATCTCTTGTTTCAAAGGCGCTCATCAATAGAAGTACGAACATAGAGCAAGATAAACAAATTTACGTCTGAAAGTAACTAAAAATAATTAATTACTAA